CCAAGCCAGTTTGCCACCACAGAATTGACTCCATCACACCCAATTAAGGCCTTAATTGAAGCTTATCAAAGTTAGTCACGTACTAGACTAACGAAAGGAATTGAGATAATGGTCAAATACACGTTTGAATTATCACGTTGGTTGAAGTTTCCAATAATAGGGATTCCAAGTTACGGATTTCAGAGAAAGATTTACCTTGGTTCTAATAGTGGAACCATCTGCAAGATGTACCAATTTCAATGGTCCAGATTCTTCAATGGAATCGACCTTTGAAGAATATCTAATCGCACCTTGAGGCAGTTCATTAGCTAATGTCTCCAACAGATCTTTTCTCCTCACACAACGACTTTCATACTCCACACTGCAACGTAATATAACTGACTTTAGATGACTATTGACTTCAAAAATAAAAATGTTGGCTGACGAATGATCAGTCCATCCAATAGTCGGAAGGAAGACATACTCAACCACGTTATTCAAAATGAACTTAATTTCATTGTTGAAATCATAGGGATTTGGACATTAAAATCACGTCACTCTGTACTTGTGAACAATACAAAAAATTGGGTATGTAGCATCCTCTGAATATGCTATTCATACTTAAGTCCTTCGTAAACAAATGTGATTGTTCTCTACGAAGATCGATGTTGTGAAAATCGGAGGTTTGCATTACTTCAACGTTTGTGAGGAGTCTTTATATCAATGGTTAGAAATTTATACATCTCTATAGATTGCGATACTCAAAAAACCTCTAATTTTAGAGAATTCCTAATTTGTCTCACATGCTAGATTATCTAGTGTTGGAACAAAATGAACATACATAAACACGAATAGATGAAAGGACTTATATAACCGACCCCAACTAATATGAAAATTGGTATAATGCTAACCTGTTATTCCCCACAAATGATACCTCCTTGATAGGTGCACCTGAATCCGCTGAGAAACTTTTAAACCTGCACATCAACTCGAATGCATTTTGGACAATCAGTAACTTTTTTTTTCCAGAGCTAGAACTCCGGAAAACACATATGACCACAAAATCTCATAAAAATTCGAAATTGAACTTCAATTAGTAATCCTAAATCCTAACTAATAATAAAGAGGAAGCTTACCCAGTAATTGATAAGGAACGTTGTCTAAGAGAGCCCCCAATGCCCAATGCATCCAAAGCTCTCCAGGCATTAGTCCACAATGCCAATGCAAATCCAGTAGCTCGCAACGAATCTGCTGATTCCAACACAACACTCCGCAGCCCCAACCTACATATTACATACAAGACACGCCTTCCATCGAGTTATTTCTCAAATCGTCACTCAACTAATAGCGCTATTATATCATAAATATCATATTCTAGAGAGGCATAATACATAAATATATCATCTAACTTTGCTCCACATCTATGTCATCCAACTTTGAGCCGGTACAAGTAGACTGTTAAATTATTCAAAAGTTGAACAAGCTAAGTAAACACACCCATCCCATGTGGCATCCTACGTGACAGTTCTGCATCTACCTGGCATCCTAAGTGTATTACTACTTATGCACATCTAAAAGTGGAGGGCATAAATGCTCGTTCAAATGCATATGCCCTTCTAAATCAAACTTTTGGAAGTAGATGATGTAATTATTGAACAAGTATTTTAGAATAGCAATTATTACCTGTGAAGGGCCAAAGAAGTAGCAAGACCAGCTATGCCAGCACCAACAGTTACAATGTTTTCTTCAGTCTCCATCATTTCTCTGTTTCTCCCAATTTTATTTAATTAATAGATGCAAAAATCCTCAATATATATATTAGTGCAGCCAATCATTATTCATTAAACAAATGGGTCCAAAGAATATAAATGACGCAAGCTCCTACGTTAGCATTTTCAACATTAGTCAATCTTGACGTTAGCCGCCATTGACGGATGTTTTAACTTAAACAGACTAGTACTACATTATTATATATATCATATATCAACGTGGTGTAGTTGTAGGACTATTTCACCCGTTAATCAGAGATTTTAAATTCGAGCATAGGGTATGAAATTTTGTAGAGCGTCATTCTTGAAAGGGTTCTGTAGCGAAAATATTGAACAAGTAAAGATGAACAGAGTATTATTTTTTCAAATATGTTTCTATATTCTGTGTATATTTTTTCCAACTTATGTTTATAAACATTGATATGGACAAAGGGTAAATAGCAAAATGGATTAATTTATTAATGATTTTTAATCACTGTGTAATATAGAAGGTGTCCATTTAACATTAGATGAGAGGGAGTAATGTTAAATTTAAAAGATATATTATATAAATATGTCATTTAATTTAGTTTCAGCTGGCATTTATGTCCTTCAATTACTTTGGATGTACACAAATAATCATTTTAACTAGTATAAAGTTGAATAAATAAAATATATGCATTCTACATGATATAATATATATATATATATATATATATATATTGGGCATTACGTAAGATGTGAACTGTCATATAAAACGTCAAGTAAAATGTATGTGTCTGCGAGTACACAAATATAAATATCTATTTATGTACATTTAAAATTAAAGAACATAGATATCAATTGAGGCCAAAAAATAATAATAATAGATCCAACCAACAAATATAATAGTACAATATTTTAAATAAACAAACAATTGTATCAATGATGACACAGCCAATAAAAAATGACGCGTG